AACATTGTCAAAGTTTTAGTAACTAAGCTTGCTTGTTTGCCAAGTTGAAATACCCGGATAAACGTACACACACGGCATCCAGATAAGCTCGACACAATATGTGTTTTTGCTGACTGCTGCAGTGCTGTAACACTGCATCGTAAAAACGCAAAAAAATGGGTTATAGATTTGCAATTATTTGTTCATTTCAGTTCAGCCCTGAATTATCATCGTCTGTAATGACGTGCTGTGCGCTGTTGAGTTTTGCAACACATCGTCTTGTTCCGTCTAAGGAAGCACTTGTATATCCATTGTTAGCTGAATGTTTCGGGACAATATCCAGTCATTTTTCGCCAAAGGAAAAGGTATTAATTTTTTTCAATGCATCCATGCAGTGTGTATTCTTTTCAATTGTTAACTTTTCTTCAGAGTTATTATAAGACTCGTCCATTCGTTTCAGTGATAAATTGGTTCTGGTGCATGTCTTCAGCTTGCCTCTGTACCACTCTCAGTAAATAAAGGCGCACTAGAGTAGCTGCGCGATCTTGCCTTTTGTGTAGTTCCGTTCAGCGAACGTTTGCTTTAGAAAATTTTCACTGTTTTGCTACTTGATACACGCAAAAATTGTCGAGACACGAAAATCTGGACATACATGGAAGTTGTATCTGAAATTTCCGGAGTCACCCATGAACGACGAACATTGTCTTGAAACATAGTGCACCCTGGCTAACATCAGGTGGTCCAGAAATAGATGTGGCAGACCTGTAAAATCCTCATTCACTTCCTATAAGAGGCAGAGATACGCGGACGCAACTCGAGCGGTAGCATGTGTCAACAGCGACCACACATTGGCAAGGCTGCCAATGAATCCGTTTTCATGCGTTTTGTGCTGTGTAAAAGCTACAAAAAACTTATATTGTTATGCCCTTGTATGTGTATGTACGAGTATGTGTATGTTACTTTTTAAGGAACTGAATCAGATGTTCATTGATGCAACTGAAAAACCAAGGCAGCAACAGGATGAACTTGTAAAAGCAGTCATTCAGCTGGCCATCGTTGCTCGCTTAATCACATCACTGATGCGGAGCGCAGAATGTAGCTCGCTTGTTCAGATATCATATATTACGGAAGAAATTTACAGGTTTCGAGAAACTGTGGAACAGAAAATGCAGCAGGTATTTTTATGCGTTTTGTGCTATGCAGCAGTTGCACAAAAAGCATATTCTTACGGGACTGTCTGCACGTACCTTTTGTCTAAATGTGTCTAAATGCATCTTGTCCGCAACTTTTAAGTTGGGAACCACAAAAGCTAGTAAGTTGAACGTTTAGGGAATGTTCCCCACCCACGCGTAATCCCGCAGTTTTAATTTCAGCCTTCCCCTTCCTCTTGGTATCGTGTACGACGCTGGGAAAGTTTTGGCGGGGAAAATCATTATCTTCGAAACTGTGAAAGCTAGGGAGACGAAGCGAGTGGCTGGCAGCAAGGATGCAGCATGGCTGAAGAAACTGAAAACATATTAGGGGAACCAGGCTGCGTGCTGCAGCTGGTTCAAATATTCCAACTTATATGTAATTCTGCAGTAAAACTTGGTCTTCTTCTTGACTCGGTTTTTGTGAGGCTTGATTGATTGTGCTGTTTTTTTAGGGCGAAAAAAGTACTGAAAATCGCTTATTGCATTTTGGTTTAAACGATTGGCTACGAGTGTTGAAGCCTTTAACGAAGTACGTGCACCTTCGGTGACGAGAAATGCAAGGGTATTGCTTTGAAACGACAAAAAATGCTCTTAACGGATATACAGCATTGTAATGCTTATTCTGCTTAAACATTTTCGATCGTGTTATTATTGTCAAGGAAACGAGGTCTTTATTGTTAGTGATCTCAAGTTTCAACCTTTCGGTAGTGCTCATAAGCTAAAAAATCTCATTCTCCTGTTAACATCAGTCTCTGTACATGGACTCTTCATTCGAGGAGGTCAAACGTCAAAAGCCACTCTTTTTTCCCTCTTTGTAAGAGGTGGAAGCAGTCGAAAGTAATCAGGTAGTAAGCACCAGCAGTAACCCTCGCTGTTAGGGCTTTTTCGAAAATTGTTTACGAGCAAGCTGATGGCGAATTTGACTATGTTACTGCTAATTTATTGTTGAAACGAATGAACGAATCGTAGTGGGTTTGGTTATCCCCACTGGCGGGTTTGAACCCGGAAATATCAATAACTGTAGACTGTTAAAAATCTTATCGCTTCTTTTACGGTGCTATAATCTTAGCACTGTTTTGCGCTTACTGCAGATGCTCTGCCAGAATCTTGGTTCCTGTCTTACGTTCTTTCTGCGCTGAAGGCGGGCGAGGGCAAGGAGGGAGAGGGAGGAGTGCAGTCCATATAAAAATGACTCCATGTTGAGCCCAAAATGGCAACTGCCTTATCATTTGGTTTTATCACACTCCCCGTTTCTCCGAGAAAAGATAGTATTAAGTCATTTTTGATTTCATTCACAACCTCAGTAAGTTTTGCTCACTGAGCATTGTTCCTCTAATACATATATATATATATATATATATATAAAAGTGGTGTTACTTCGTTGTCCCAATACGAAAGGTGCCTTTCAGTTTTGAGTTGTGGTTTAAATGCGATGATAAAAAAAATTTATCAAGTTGAGTTATGATAAAAAATGGGAGATGGATGTGGAGGTAAGGGGATTCTTGCTTCATGGTTATCTTGTCTCCTCAACATTATCGTTTTTCTTATACCTTCCAGCAATTACTCTTGTTTCTTGGGGGCGAGTGCTTATTGAAAGCCCGATGATGTTT